CGCGACCGCGACCGCCGTGGCCCGCCCCGCAAGCGCCGCGGCTGGTAGCCATAGCTTTGCTCATCCTGTATGGTCATTGCAGTGCGCAGTCGCCGATGTCTGGCCTGACTGCTTGCCGTGGAAGCGCCACTCGATGCCGCTCGTCGTCGCGGAGAAAGCGAACAACCTGCTTCTTGCGCCCGTGACCGAACGTCAGCGTCTGCCTCTTGACATTGACTGTGGCGTCATGATCCGTCATAAAGTCAAGGCCGAGCAGGAAACCGATCGAATCGTTGTCGATGATTGTTAGTGGGTGGTGATAGACCTTCTTTCCGATGGCGATCGGCGCCGACGCGATGCGGCCCACAATCCGCGCTGAGCCGACGCCCACCGCAACGCCAGCATACCGCGTGTCGACCTCATGCAACAGGCCGGCGTGCTGGACCAGCGCCAGAGAGAGCACAGACGACTCGGCTCCAGTGTCAACTAGCGCATCGATCCGCCGCCCATTGACCCGCGTCTTGATAAACAAGATCCGCAGTCGGGTCAGACTCTTTTGCATTGCATCGGCCTGAGCCTCTGCCAGCTGCTGTTGGATCTGCGCACCCTCAGCTTCGTCACCTGCCCACAGCGCGTCCTGCGGCTGCGGCCGGCCGCACAACTCGCATGCCTCGGCGAGCTCGGCATTGAGAAAGGCGCAGTGCTCGCAGCCCCAGACGACTTCGTAGGACTCGGAGCCCGAGCTCGAGTCCAAGCTCGATCGCGACTCTGTCGCCGCTCCAGCCCGCGGGCGAAACCTCACCGCATCAGACGCATAACCGAGGCCATCAATGGCCTCAAACGCGTGCGTCATACTCCGCTTCCGGCCCTTGCGCGCCATCGCGTCCGGCAAGCACTCTTCACACGAGTGATGAGCCCGTCCCTGCTCCCGATCCTGCCTGCTGCCCCCACACGCCGAGCACTCGTAGACCGTCCCGCCGGTGATCAGGCACCCACACTCATCACACACGTACGCCACCAGCAGCTCTCTACGGCAGTGGCCACCTGACGATGGCGAGGAGGAGGAGGAAGAAGAAGACATCGATGATGATGACAATGATGACGATGACAACGATGAGCTGTCGGAAGACGACCGTGACTTTCGTGATGTCGACGATGACGCCGATGACCGCGAACGTCTCCGCCCGCTCTCAGCCCTAGGCATGCTCCACAGTAGCCAGCCTCGACCCGCCGGCGCCCTTCTCCGCCTCGTTTATGCCTCACACTCGCTGACCTTGTTGATGGAGACAAGTGTATCACTCGAGATACTCGCTGTCAGCCTGTGTGGAAGGGCTCGCTCCTTTCCCTCCACGACCATCTATGTATCTACTCGTGCACTCCCTCGAACAACCGTTAGAGAAGCAATCATTAGTCCTCACCCCCCTTACCCTACATGAATGACAACACACAACCCTCTCTTTATCGCCCCGATCACAGCACCCATCCCCCCACACATCACCCTCCTTTGCCCCGATCACATCACACATCCTCCCCATGCATCTCCATCACAGCATACCCCCCCCCCTCCCCCCCTACCGCCCCCATCACGGCACACATTACCCATCATCTGTACACACTCTCTCGCACACTACACATACCCACACGTACCCTCACCCCCACACCTCCTTTAATCATCTCCCACCCCCCCCCCCCCCCCACCCCTCCCTTCCTCTGCGTCCACCACTCCATTTCTCCCGATCACCCGTCACCGAATTGGCGCCCGTTACCCTTCCCCTCCTCCTCCCTCTCCCTCTCTCCCTCCACACCTCCCTCCCTTCCTGCCCTTTCTCACATGGAAGGCAGTCTGGTGCTTTCGGCTGAACTCGGGGGCCACACGGACCGGGTCCGCTGCTTGGCATGGGCTGAGTCGACCGGTGCTCTGTGGTCGGGCTCACGGGCTGGTTCGCTCCATGCCCACGCTGCGACGCCTCCGCATGAGCTGGTGGCGGAGATTGCCTTGCCGAACTCGCGCGAGGACAGAGGCGCTCGGCTTGTCGGGGTCATGTCGCTGGCATATGTGGCGAGGACATGCTGCATGTGGGCCGGGGCGGCGTCGGGCGCCGTGGCTGTCTATGACGTCGAGTCGTACAAGTGCCTTCATCTGCTCTCGGGCCACACAGCGGCGGTCAACAGCCTCCTGGCCAAGGCCAAGTATGTGTTCTCGGCCTCGTCCGACTTCTCCGTCGGCATCTGGGACGCCACAAAGTACGAGCCACGCCAGTTTCTCCGTGGCCACTCCAACTGGGTCCGATCGCTCGCCCTCACAGGCCTCCATCTTTGGTCTGCAGGTGACGACGGCACCATTGTTGTCTGGTCCTCCACAGGCGAGCGGGTCTCGGATCTTGCTGTTGACGACCCGGTCCACGCCCTTGTCTACACAAAGTTCAACACTGTATGGACAGGCACGTCCTCTGGCGCCATTGTCGTCTTTGATGTCACCTCGCACGCCTGCGTCGCCTCGCTGGAGCCGCTGGCCGGCTGGATCACATCACTCACAGCCACCGACCTCCACGTCTGGGCAACCTGTTCCGACGGCACGCTTGCGTTGTACAACGCCAAATCCCGTGTCTGCCTGGCCTCGATTTCGGCCGGCTGTGGCGCACTCCTTGCTGCCATCCCTGCCCCGCTCACCGCCCACGACCGCTCTGTCGGCACCGCCTCGGCCTGGCTCGCTGCCGCCGACGCATCGGTCACGTTGTGGTCGTGGCTCTCCGATGCTGTCGCTGAGCGCACCGCCAAGGGTGTCATCATGGCGCCGCTTGCTCTGGGCGACCTTGCGTCGTCACCCAACTCGGGCTCGCCGCCGCCGATCCCGTCGGTGCGCCAGTCGTCGCTCCGCGCCATGGCCGCCTCCGAGGCTGCCCGCGAGGCTGCAGAAGCGGCGCACGCCAACGCTGAGGCCCGTGTCGCTGTCGCCAACCGCGAGATGCGCTCGCAGCTGCGGGCCGTCACCCAGGCTCACGCCATTGAGAAGGATGGACTCACGACCCGCATCGAGCTGCTGGAGCGTGAGCGCCACGAGCTGGCTTTGCAGCTTGCCGCTGCTCGTGAAGCATCGCCCAACGAGAATGTTGATGTCTCGCAGGCTTCATCGACCGACGACCCCGAGTCGCTCGCATCGCTTGTTGCCACGCTCAAGTCGCTGCGTGGCCAGCTGCACGTGGAGCGGAAGCAGCGGGCGGCCAAGGAGAAGGCCATGGCCGTCGCCGCGTCGACCGCGCAGGTTCGTATTGCCCAGCTCGAGTCCGAGCTGGAGGACGTCAGAACGACAGGCGCGGACACCCGCGCTGCCGCCGCTGCCGCCGACAAGCAGCTCGAAGCACTGAAGCTTCAGCTGGCGACACAGGTGGCCCGTGCCGACAAGGCCGAGTCGGCCGCTGCCGCCCTCCGTAAGAAGCTCCGTGCCGCCGAGTCGCGTGCCAAGGCGCCGTCGCGGAATGAGGCCGCGGCTGCTGCTGCTTCCGCTGACCTCCGCGAGCGGACACTCCGGGCCGAAGCCACTATGCTTGAGCTGAACAAGGACAAGGCGACACTGGAAGAGACCAACGCGGAGCTGGTTGCCTCACTCGGCGAGTTGAGGACCAAGCTCAAGACTACTGAGCAAGCTCGCCGCGCTGGCCTCCGTAAGGTCGGCTCGCTGACCAACAAGCTGGACGAAGCAGTCACTGCACGGGCTGATGTTGAAGCCAAGCTTGCTCACCATCGCAAGCTTGTCAACACCATCACGGCCGCCACCCACGATGCCGAGCATGAGATCCGCGCTCTCGAGGCCCAGCACCACGCTGCTGTCGCCACCCTTCAGCACCAGCTCGACTCGGCTCAGACCGCCATCGACGACCTCGAAAGCCAGCTTCACACGCTGCAGCTCGAGCGGACTGCGACGACTACTGCGTTGCAGGCCAAGGCTGACGCTGCCATTGCTGAGCTTGGCTCTGAGCGCAAGATGCGCCGCAGGGCTCAGGCCGAGCTGGAGAAGCTGCGTGCACACCAGCTGGCTGTCATGGACTCGGCTGCACTCGAGGCTGAGCTGACCCAGACTCAGGGCGCGCTTGCGGCTGCAACCTCTCAGGCCAAGCAGGCGCAGGACCGACTCGCCGTGGCCGAGCGAAACCTCGAAACGGCTCGCGGCCGCGTGTCTGCTGCCCGGGACGAGGCCGAATCACAGGCTCATGTTGCGCTCAAGCTGCAAAAGGCACTAGAGCACGTCGAGCGCGAGCGCGAGCAGCTGCAGACTGCATTGGCCACCGAGCGCGACCGTGCCACAACTGCCGAGGCTGCGGCCGCCGCGCTTGGCGTAGAAGTCGAGCGCGAGCAGGCGCTGGTGGCTATGGCGTCGTCGCAAGGCGTCGGGGTCAAGACTTCGCTCATGCACGCCAAGGACGATGTCGTCGCGCTCCGCAAGCACAACGTTGCTCTTGCGGCGCAGCTCGGCAAGCTCTCGCAGTCAGAGGCCGACGCGACGCGCGAGGTCTACTCGCTCCGTCGGCAGGTTGAGCAGCTTCAGGCCCGGTTAGAGGCCGAGACCGCGACTGCTGAACGCGACCGCGTATCAGCCGCGACCCAGGCCCACCTGCTTGTGGCGGACTCACAGGCGTCGGTGACGGCGGCGCAGCAGGCTGCCAGCCGGGAGAAGAGCCGCGCTACCGCTGCCGAGGCGCAGCTCGCCGTCTTGCAGGGCCACATCTCAGCCATGCAGTCGGGCCACGCCTCACACTTTGACGGGCTCGAAGGCAAGCTCGAGCGGATGCGGATCGAGCTCGAAGCCGCAGAGAATGAGCGTGACGCCGCATTGGACGAGGCTCGGTCGGCGACCCACGAGGCCAGCGTTGCCAGGAGTCGCATGGCTCGGATTCGCGACGATCTCGAGGCTGCCCGACGCGACGTGGCTCAGCTGAAGGATGACTTGATCGACGCACGCACTGCCCGCGACACCTTGACCGAGCGGGCGCAGATGCTTGCGGCTCAGCTGGAGGCTGCGTCATCACGCGAGCAGCTTGCTGCCGACCGCAGTGCCGAGCTGGAAGCCCGTATTGAGGAGATGGAGGCCGAGCTGCGGCGCGAGCGGGTAGCAGCCGCCGAGGCCCACGGTGCGCTCTCGTCGCTGGCGGCCGATACGTCGGCGGCGTCGTCGACGCGGGCCGCGCCGGAGGTTTCTGCCGCCGACATCAACGAGCTGCGAACTGGACTGGCCAAGGCAGAGATGCGCGCGTCGATGGCGGAGCGCGACGCAGTCATGGCCAACCAACGCCGGAACGAGCTGCAGCGACAGATCGACGAGCTGCGCCCACTCAGCACCAGCACCGAGGAAGAGCTGCGACGCCAGCTCAACTCGGTCAATCAGATCCGCGGCGAGCTCGAACAAGCCAACTTTATTCTCCGTCAGAAGCTCTCAGACACAGTATCCAAACGCGAGCTGTTTAAGTCGCAGCGCGACGCGGCGCGCTCGCATCTGCAGGAGCTCTCGCGCACGCCGTCGCAGCGGCTGGTGCCGTCCGCAGCGTCCGCGAGTCACGCATCCGAGTCTGCGTCGGACGACAGCGCTTCGCTGGCCACTGTAGAAACACGGAGCGTTGAGGCAGGTCGGTCTCAGCTCGACTCGTCCGTGTCTACGGACGAGGTCGATGCTCGGACCGCTGATCTACATCACCACAAGGCACTGTTGCGCCAGCGGACGACCGAGCTGGAAGCGCTGCGTGTCGAGTACACGAGCCGTGTTCAAGTTGACTCGTCCAAGCTCGAAGATCTGGAGATGGAGCTCCGCAACGCGCGGGCGACGGTGACCGCCGAGCGGAACCGCAACGCGCAGCTCGAGCAGCAGCTCGCTGACGTGGTGGCGCAGAACATGCGGCTGCGGCGGCTAGCATCGGTCGCCGGCACAGGCATGTCGCTCTCGTCCATGGATCTGTCGTCGGTCGATGCCCTCTCGGACGGCTCGGTGGCGACTGACGAGTTGGACGTGAGTGATCACGGCGAGTTTGAAGAGACGTAGCACAGCATTGAACTAGGAGACACGCGTAGCTACGGCGGTGCCAGCCACGCCTCGTCGGCGACGTTGGCTTTTTGGGTGACGGTGCTGTGCTTGGCGGCGTCGATGCCACGAACCATGGCCGAGAGCGTCTCGTTTCGGAGCGCTGGGAGGAGAGTCGGGTCAAGGGCCGGATACTCGGGCCGGGCAAGCGCCGCGAGAGTAGCCAGTGTCTCGTTGTGCTCGGGCGGCTCACTGGCGGGCGTGGAAAGGTCCCTTGTGGCAGCGAGATCAGCGTTCGACATCATGAGGTGCGAAGTGAGGAGTGTGGATCGGTTGCGGTTGAGAGCGAGCTCGACCGGGTCGAGGATGGCGGCGGCGGCGCGGCGCTGGCTGCGGACCTGGCTTCTGTGGTCACGGAGAGTTGAGGCGAGGTTGACGACCTCGGGATCGAACTGCCGTGAGCGGGCATTGCTGGCAACACGCGGGTCCCAATCGAGGCAGAGTTGGCACGAGCTGGGGTCGAGGATGCCGAGCTCAATGAGCTCCTCATCAGTAACGTGGGTGCGGACAAGGCCGAGGAGTGTTTTGACCCGTGCCTGGGAGCGCGAGAGCTCGGTACGGAGGCGGCGAACGCACAGATCCTTCTCGGTGAGCACAACTTGGGTGTTCTGCTTTTCGACTTGAAGCGTGTGGATGGTGTCCTGGAGAGCGATGATTCGCTCGTTGGAGGCTTCGCCCTTGGGCAAAGCCGAGATCTGGAAGGCGGCTTCTGCGGCGAGGGTCTTGGCCACCTGAAGCTCGTCGTTCTTGGAGTCGAGCTGGGTGCGAGCATCGGTGAGTTCGGCCTCGGTGCGGGTTAGCGCGCGCTGGAGCATCTGGATCATGCGGATACGCTGCTCGTCCGAGCCGGCGGCAGCCTTGCGGGTCCTACGGGCGACTGCCTCGTGCTCCGTGAGGAGGGCGGTGTGCTTGGCGCGGAGATCGCGGGCGAGCGTCTTGTTGACTGCCGCCATGTCCTTGGCACGGACCTCGCGAGCCTTGGCGGTCTCAATTTCTGAAGCCGAGCTGGCCAGCTGCTCCTTGAGCGCCATGATGACTCGCATGAGGTGGCGCTCGCGGGCGGTGACCACACTCCTCATCATGTCATCAGCATCATCGGCCTGGCTACGCTGGCCCTGCAACGAGTCTACGGCCGAGGCCGGTGAGGTCGGTAAATTGTCTGCGGCATCTGCGGCAGCATCAGCGTGGGCCATGAGCTTCCATACCAGGGCGTTGCGCTGGGAGTCTGCGGCGACGGCCGCGTCCTTCATGGCTTGGATGGTCTCCTCCAGCTCGACGATGCGGACAAAGAGCGCCTCCTTGGAGAGACCGTGATGGAACGAGTCGGGATGGAAGGGATCGGCCGAGTTGGCAGCCAGCCGCGCGCCCTCTTCACGGAGTGGAGCGTCGGCGGCCTGCTCGCGACGGAAGCGCGAGTGCGGGACGCCGCCGGAGGCCGGACCCTTCACCACCGGCGGCTCGCCGTCTGAAAAGACCATCGACTCTGCACGGCTAAAGGCCAACGAGTCATTGTAGTCCTGAAGCGAGGCGAGTGAGTGCGAGAACTCGCCAGATCGGGCGCGGCGGGCCAGCGTGCGTGCGGTGAGCGGGCGAGGAGCCTTTGCCACCCGATCCGGGCGGAGGAAGATACCACGGTAGCCACCACGGGGATGATTGACACCAAGCGGAGCGTCGACGTTCCGACGAGTGTGAAAGTACCTTACGCCGTGAACCGATCCGTCGTTGCGGCCACGAGCCTCGTCCAGCTCCACGCCCAGCCACTCGCCAGGCGCAAACTCCGTCTTCCCGCGGAAGCGCAACGTTCCCCTCAGCTCGCCGTCGACAACCACCCGCATACCCAGCACCAGCACCTCCTCCTCGTCCTCTACCTCTCCTTCTTCGCCTGTCTCATTCTCGTCCTGCTCGGCTTTGGGTGGTATCGGTGGTGGTGGCATGGATGATGCCATGGGTGAGTGGGGAGGGGGGGGGGGG